TCTCTCTCTCTCTCTCTCTCTCTCTCTCTCTCTTTCTCTCTCTCTCCGTTTTTATTGCAGAGAGTATATAAGGATAGACATAAAAAAAAAAATACCCCTTTACCTCCATGCCAGAAATAACGTTTATGGAGGTTTTAAGATAAGCTTTTCACACATTTATTTTTTAAGTGCGTAGTTCGTGGCGTCGCGTAAAGATGGCGCTCGTGTTTATGTTTACTTTACGTTTCCTTCGTTGTAGTTAAGGTCGGTTTTTGGTGGTATTTATGTGGCTGTTTCGCTTCCGAGGCGTGAAGCGTATCTGCGTAATGGGGTTGTGGTTGCTTGCTGGCTCAGGGAGGGTTGGGGAAGGGAAATGGGTGGTTGGTATAGGGGTTAGGGTCTCTATCTATCTATCTTCTATCTATCTATCTCTATCTATCTATCTGTCTATCTCTCCTATCTATCTATCTATCTCCCTCTCCCTCTCTGTTTGTCTCGTCTCTCTCTCTCTCCCCTCCCTTCCTTCCTTCCTTCCTTCCTTCCTTCCTCCTTCCTTCCTTCTTCCTACCTCCCTCCTCTCCTCCTCCCTCCTATTCTTCTCTCTCTTCTTCTTCATCTCCTCGCTCCCTCTTCCTTGCTTCTACTTCTCTCCTCCTCCTCTCTCCTCCTCCCCTCCCACCAACGCTCCTCCCCCCTCCCCCTACCTCCTCTTCCGCCCCCCCCCCCACTCATACCTCCACTCAGTGTCTCTCAGTCGCCAACCTCTTCACCCCCGCTTTCGCCCCTCACCCTTTCCTCACCACTTCCTTCACCCTTCCTCACCCTCTCCTCACCCTTCCTCACCTATTTCTCCTCACCACACGTTTCCTCATTTTCACACCTCTCCTCACCCTTTTCCTCACCCTTCCTCACCTCTCCTCACCTCTTCCTCACACCCTTCCTCACCTCTCCTCACCTTTCCTCATATTTTTCCTCTTTTTCCCTCACCCTCTCCTCACCTCTCCTCGCTTCCTCACTTTCCTCACGCTTCACGCACGCCTCCTCACCTCTCCTCACCTTTCCTCATATTTTCCTCATATTTTCCCTCACGCTTCACGCACGCCTCCCGCCGCCATCATTTAATATCGACAGGAAATGAGATCCGTCACGGAACCAGAGTCATCCCCGGAGCTTTGAAAGGCTTCGCGCTGGCTTCATTGTTCTTTTTTCTTCTATTCTTCTTCTTTCTTCTTCTTTCTCTCTTTTCTTTTTTTCTTTTTCTTTTTCTTTTTTTTTTCTTCTTTTTCTTCTTTTTTTTTCTTTTTCTTTTTCTTTTTTCTTTTTTTCTTCTTCTTCTTCCCTCTTCTTCTTCTCTTCTTCTCTTCTTCTCTTCTTCTTCTTCTTCTTCTTCTTCTTCTTCTTCTTCTTCTTACGTTCACTCACTCATTCATTCACATTCACGTTCGTATTCACATTCATATTCATGCCCTCACTAACATTCGTGTGCGTATTCTTGCTCACAACTCATATTCACATTCACATTCGCACACACACTCACATGTACATCACATCACACACTCACATTCAACACTACATACATCACATTCACACATGCTTACATACACTCACATTCACACATACATACATACACTGTGTGTGTGTGTGTGTGTAACGAGGTAAAGATTTGTGGTTTGTTCTCTGAAAATAATGCAGAGAAAGTTTTGTTTTGTCTGTCAGTCACTTCTTTGCTCTCTCACATCAGTCGTCTTGTCCCTCTCTCTCTCTCTTTATTCTCTTTCTGTCGATGTGCGTCATATATCATCGTTCATCTTTCTCCGTTTCATCCTCTCGCTATCTATCTATCCATCTGTCTATCTATCTTGCATTATGGATGAATAGATAAGCTAAAATCTCAAAGAACTTGTCAGACTTTTCTCAAGTCTTTCTGCTCTAGATCGCCCCCTCTCCCCCCCCTTCCCCCACCCAGAGCGCTTATAGGCCTACCAAGCGTAATGAGAATCTTGACCTCGCCCCCTTATTCATGCATGGCCTCTCGGGTGCGGCGCCCACAGCCAGGCCAACGGCTCTTAGCTTACGCCCACTGCAAGGGTGTGAACTCTTTTGAAACTGAACAAGCTCTTCCCTTTCTTTCTGTCTGTTTCTCTCTCTTCTCTTCTCTCTCTCTTTCTCTCTGTCTCTCTCTCTCTCTCTCTCTCTCTCTCTCTCTCTCTCTCTCTCTCTCTCCTCTCTCTCTCTCTCTCTCTCTTCTCTCTCTCTCTCTCTCTTCGTCTCTCTCTCTCTCTCTCTCTCTCTCTCTCTCCTCCTCCCTCTCCTCTTCTCCTCTATCCCTCCTCCCTTCTCTCCCTCTCTCCTCTCTCCTCTCTTCTCTCTCCCTCTCTCTCCCTCTCCCTCTCTCTCTCTCTCCCTCTCTCCCTCTCTCCCTCTCTCCTCTCTTCTCTCTATCTATCTCTCAAGTCTATGAACTCTCTTGATCACTGAACAAGCTCTCTCTCTCTCTCCCTCTTGCACTTGCGTCCTGTTCACCCGCCCATTGAACGCTTCACACGTCTATACAAACCCATTTTCCCATTGGCGAGTTTCTAGTTCCTTTTTTTTCTGAATGGGATTCGATTCTTTGGCGAGGGGAGAGCGCGCTGTGTTCGGATTTGGTCCTTTTGTGATGTGCGGTGTTCGTTTTTTTTTTTTTTTTTTTTTTTTTTTTTTTTTTTTTTTTTTTTTGAGCGAGTTTTGAGAATCCTTTCGTTGTTGTTTCTCGGTTTACGTTCTGCGGAGGTGGAGTCGAGAGCGCTGGGCGTGTGGGTGGGTGTCTCTCGCGTGGAATCTATTGGCTGTTTTGGTTCTCTTGTTCGGTTCCATAGGTTGGGTTTTGTGTGTTTTTTTGGGTCTGTTATGTTCTGTTCTTCCTGGTCGTTTGTTTGTTTGTCTCTCTCTCTGTCTGTTTCCCCTGTCCTCTCTCTCTCTGTCTGTTTCTGTCTCTTCTCTCTCTCTCTCATCTCTCTCTTCTCTCTCTCTCTCTCTCTCTCTCTCTTCTCTTTCTCTCTCTCTCTCTCTCTCTCTCTCTCTCTCTCTCTCTCTCTCTCTCTCTCTCTCTCTCTCTCTCTCTACAGTATATCTATCCAGAAAAGTGAAAGGAGAATGAACATGGGAGATTGAAAGACAACAAAAAAGAAATGAATCAATTTAAAACAGAAAAAAAAAAAAAAAAAAAAAAAGTCTAAGAATGACTCCAAGTTCCACCTCCGACAAACTGCCATTTAGCACCTCCCCTTCACACCCCCACCCACCCCACCCCCCCCACCCACCCTCATCTCTTGTGCATCTCATTCTCCTCCTTTTCGTCCCGCTTCCCTCCCTTCTTCCCTTCCTCCATTTTTTTTTCTTCTAACTTCCCTCCGCCTCCCTCCCCCTCCCCCTTCCCCCCTCCCTCCTCCCCCTCCCCCTCCTCTTTCCTCCTCCCCCTCCCTCCCTCTTCCCCTCCCTCCCCTTCCCTCCCTTCCCCCCCTCCCTCCCCCTCCCCCCTCCCCCTCTCCCCCTCCCCTCCCTTCCTCCCCCACCTCCCCCCCTCCCCCTCCCCCTCCCTTCCTCCCCTCCCTTTCCTCCATCTCCCCCACCCTCTTTCTATCCTGAAAGGGCGAGGCTTATCCCTTTTGCAACGCGCCCTCAACGCCCTCAACGCCCTCCCCCGCGCCTCCTTTGTCACGCTCGTTAGCCTGTCATAGCAGTCACACCTTGTCACGCTCCGCCCTCCCCGTCACGCCGAAGAGCGGGGAGAGGAGAGGAGAGACAGGCGGTTGACTGACAGTGGGGAGGGAAGGGGTGGAGAGGGGGGGGTGGGGGTGGGGGTGTTGGTGGAAGGAGAAAAGAGGTGGGGGTGGTGGTGGAGGTGGTGAAAGGTGAAGGTGGCGGTGGGGGGGTGGTTGGGGTGGGGGTGAAGGAGGTTGGGGTGGAGGGTGTTGGTGGAGGAGGTGAAGGTAGAGTGGGGTGGGGAGGAAGGAAGGAGGAAAGGGGTCGAGGGAAGGTATGGTGATGGTGGAGAAAGAAGAGGAGGTGGAGGATGAGGAGGAGAGGAAGAAGAAGAAGAGAAGAAGAAGGAGGAGAGGAGATAGTGAGGAGAAAAACAATAGAGAAGAAAAAAAAAGAGAGAAGTGGACGAGGAAGAGGAAGGAGAGGTCTCTGAGGGGGGAGGGGGGAGGGGGGGGGGGAGGTCTTGCTAAAGGCTAGTCTGTTTAGGATGAGAATGGGATTTTTCGCGCTTTGTGGGAATGTTTTTCGCACGGGGGGGGGGGGGGGGTGGGGGGTGGGGGTGGGGGGGGGGGGTGTGAGAGGGTAGGGATGGGCGGGGGGGAGAGGGGGTGTATGGGATTGCAGGAGTGGTTGGGAGGATTTCGGGAAGGGGGGGTGGGGGGGGGATTTGGATTTAGGAGAGGGTGGGCGTGGCTTATTTTGAGCTGCGGGGTGATGTGATAGGCCTAGGGGGTTGCGGGGGAGGGGGGAAGGGGTAGGGGAGAGGGGGGGGGAGATTTGGTTTGGTGTTTAACGGCGTCATGTGAAGATTTCTTTTATGTGTCTATTCTCCGTCTGTGTTTGATTTTCTTTGTCTGCTCGCTTCGTTTCTCTCAGGTCTTCTGTGCTCTCTCTCTCTTCTCTCTCTCGTCTCTCTCTCTCTCTCTCTCTCTCTCTCCTCCTCTCTCTTCCTCTCTCTCTCTCTCTCTCTCTCTCTTCCTCTTCCTCTTCTCTCGTCTCGCCTTCTCTCCCTCCCTCCTTCCCTCTTTCCCTCACTCTCCTCTCCCTCTCCTCTCCCCCCCCTTTCTCTCCATCTCTACTCTCATTCACGCTCAATGTCCTCCGCCTTCTCCTTCCTCTCTCTCCCACTTTTCTTACCCTACCTTACCTACCCCCCCCTCCCTCCCACCCAACCTACGAAAAAAAAATCAAAAATGAATCATGGACCTTAAACCGTTTAAAAAAAAAAAAAATTCTCAAGACGCGTCCCAAGAAGAACTTAATTTCTCCCGGCCCGTCGACTGGGAACCGGGATCGAGTCGCGGAAGGGGGAGTCGAAGAGAGATCTTTGTTCGTCTTCCGGGAATCAGCTGGGTTTTCTTGGGGCGTTTCTCCGGTCGTCTTGATGGGTCTCTCGTTGGTTGGGTTGGATGAGGGGTTTGATTTGGTTTTTTTTTTTTCTCGGTGGTCTGTCTCTCTCGCTGGCTGTCTGTTCTTTCTCTCTTTTCTGTCTCTCTGTCTGTCTGTCTGTCTCTGTCCTCTTTCTCTTTCTCTCTTCTCTCTTCTCTCTCTTTCTCTCTCTCTCTTTTCTCTTTCTCTCTCTCTCTCTCTCTCTTCGGCTCTCTCTCTCTCTCTCTCTCTCTCTCTCTCTTTCTCTGTCTCGTTCTGTATTTTTAAGTCTGATTTTTCTTCTTCAGGTCTCTCGTTCGCTCTGTTCCCAAAGAGATGATTATATATTTATATGATATATATTATATATATAGTATATATATAGTATATTAGTATATATATATATAATATTATATATATATATTATAATAGTGATTACATATATATATATATATATATATATATATAATAATAATATATAATGTATGTATGTAATGTATAATAAACTGCCTGTCCTATCTATCTGGCAGTCACTCAGTCCAAACAGAAATACTAAGAGATCCCAAGCAACCGGAGAAGTAATACCTATCCGACGAAAAAAAGGTCCAAAAACAAGCGAGAATCATAGCGGAGAGAGCCCCATAGAGCCGCAGACAGGCCCGACGCGACGAAATGCGAAAGATTTGCAAAGAAGCAGCGCAGGAGAATTTTCTACCGCGCGTCTCAGCTGAGCGGAGGATGAGGTACGCGGCGGCTGATGCTGTGACGGAGATGATCGCTGGCTCAGCGTCCGGTCCTCCGTGTGATTTACGTGTGGTCACCTCAGGGACTTCGTTTGGCAGATAATGGAGGGAACCGGCTCCTCCTCCCCTTCCGCCCTTCTCCCCGCCCTTCCCCTAACCCTCAATCATCTCCCTTCCCCTTTCTCTCCTTCCTCACTCCCCTTCCTTCCTTCCGCCTCTCCGTCTCCCTTCTCGCTTTCTCTCCTTCCTTCCCACTTTAAAAATCTCTCTTTTCCCTCCCACTCCTCCTCCACACTCACTGCGGGGGGGAAATGCTCCCTTTGGATGGGGGGAGGAGGGTGGGTGCACCTCGGAGGGGGACCTGACGCGAGTGGCCCGCGCGTAACCGAATTGCTCCCGACCAAGCCGCAGAGGTGTAATGCGTTAGCGGCGGGTGTAGGGAGGGGCAATGGTGGGCGCGAGAGGATGCGCGAGGGCATTACCTGAGCGTTTATCAGGAAGGGAAACTGAGGTCGAGGAGCGATGAGGGGAGGGAAGGGGGGATCGCGGCAGAGGGGTAATCCGCAGGGGAAGCGAGGAATACGGAAAGGGGACGGGCGAGATAGGTGCCGCTCGGAACGAGCCCGAAAGAGAGCATCGCGCGGGCATGGGAGAGGGGGAGAGTGAGGCGAGCGGAAGAATAAGGGGAAGGGGAGCCGATTAGGGTGGCTGAAAAGGCACTAAAAGAAATGGGCGTAGATACGGACTGAGGGAGAAGGCGACGTAGGGATATAGTGATGTGCATGGGCGAAGGCCGCAGGGAAAGGGAGGGGACGGAGGGAAGCGGGCCGCGTGTGGAGGCAAGGCGAGTATCGGCCCGTCGATCCCGCCTGCTCGCGATCAAGGCCCCCACGCGGCGCTAAAGTCGGACATGCTTTCTCCCGTGTTCTACTGAGTTCGAATGGTAATGCTAGTTTTAAAGGAAGATGTGTCTGTATAATATTCTTCGAGAATAAAGTAGCATTTGAAGAACCGGGTCTCTGGGAAAAATTGCTCCTATTTCGCGCGATCGTTGCTTCTAGCTCGGCTTTCTGTTTTCTGCGTATGACGTAGAGTGTGGTCATGTAAATCCACATAGAAAGCAATTTAGAGAATAAGGTCGTGAAACACGATGGCCGTTGTACAAGAAATCAGGCATCATAGGGGTGAAAAGTGTACAACCTTTTCTCGGGGGTACACTTGGAATAACTTACAGCTGCAATAAAGATGT